TGCGTTGCAAAATTAGCAATCTTGCCAAGTGCCTCCTGCGCAACAACTCTCCCCATGGTGGCTCCTGCCGCTCCTGTTGCTCTTGCTGATGCTTATCACCTACTGCACCTAAAGTCACACCCTTCCTACTCCGTGCCATTGCCAGGGCTTTCAGATGCATCTCCAGCAGCACTGGGTGCTGTATACCCCGGATCTTAACAGTGTGGATTCCTCTCCCTGTAGCCCCTTTCCCATCAGTTGCACCCCCTGTTATGGTATTTCCATTGATTACCCCTATACATTGCCCCGGAGGGTACTTACCCCTGGAAAGGTGTTTTCACGGGGAAGAGGGTGCGTGGGGGGCAGGACGACAATGGGCGAAGCACCCATCCATAAGGCATGCCTTGCACGGCACACGCCAAGTCCGACGCAACAATCCTGTCCGTCAGATCTTGGGTCAACGATGCACAATCCGCCTGCGCCATTTCCCTCAGCACCCTCCTCTCCTCCTCCGCCTCCCCCCCACTCAACTCGGCCTCTCTATTGTTCGACTTCATGACTTCTACAGGCTTAACAAACAGTGTAGCACCAGTGTCACTAACATCTAATGTAACACCCCTTGGTAACGCGCTATTTTTCTTTGCGGCTCTAACCGCCATGCACCCTCTCCCGCTCCTCCTACTCACCTGTCCCTCATCCATCCCTCCCCCTACCACCACATGCCGTGCGGCTCTCTGCAATGACTCGTCCAGCTGGCGATGGTTGTCCCGGCTGGCAGCGCGGATGGTTGCCAGCTCAACGCTTGCTGAGTTAGCAAGGGACTTGAGGCGCGGGTTGATGGCGGTGCAGATACAGAAGAGGAGAGAGGGACACGTTTTCGTTCTGTTCTTTGCTCACATCCGGGTGGCAAGAGAGAAAAGCAGAGTGCACTTGAGCTTCCTCTCACTCATTGGCTACTTAAGCCTTTCCTTCCCTATCTTCCATGCTTAGTTTTTGTTATGTTCTTCGAAAGAATCTTCTTCACATGCATCACGCATTGGCGTTCCACCATTGGCAGCCACTTTTGGAACGCCGCCAATGCGTCGCTCTTCTGCACCAACAGGTACGTCCAATCGTAACAAGATTTGCGACCTTTGAAGTGGAGGAAGTACCAGCTTCCGTCTTTCGCGGCGCTGCGGAAGGGTCCACACATGTCAATGTGTACGACGTCCAGCACTGCTTCTACTTCTGAACCTTGCGAAGGGTAGGTATGACGCACGAGCTTGCCACCAACATAGGAAACGCAAGGCAGTTTAGTTGTGGTCGGCGAAACGATTTCCAGACCTACTGTAGCACTGCTCCATGATCACCAGTGCGCTTAATTGTCTCGACGCCTGCATACACCAGACGAGCATGCCAGACATCCGTCGAGGAGCGCATAGATGATGCAATCATTCGCAAAGCAATCGTCGCGGTCGTCGACAGCTGCACACGGCAATGACGGATATTGGTTCAGAACATGTGGCCCAAAAAACACGCGCACCCAAGAATAGTGTCCATATTGGAGAGGAGAAGTGTTTCATCACCGTCCTCTTTCAACTTCACTCCGCCGTCGCGCAACTGACCAGTTGACAGGAGATTCGTTTGCATGCCGGGAATGTACAGCACATATGTAACCAAAATCTTCCTGCATGCCTCCCCTTGCAACGCAACGGTGCCATGCCCTTGGACGACTTGCATTGCACCGTCGAATCCACGCACGTGACTAACATTGCCGGCAGCCTGCAAGTTGACGAAAGCGTCGCGTGCTCTCATCAGATGATGCGAGCAGCACGACTGTCGAATTCGTCTGGACAGCTGCAACGACCACTTGAAATTCTTCGTCGGCTTCTGGCGCAAGGGAAATGAGCGACTCTGCAGACGATGCAATGGCAACCACCACGCCAACCATCGAGCATGATGCTTGTTCGAAGCCGGTCGCGGTGGCGCTAGGTGGATCGGTGCATCGCTGGTCGCGCGAGTTTTTGGACTTTCCCGGTGCAAATCGGTACGTGTTGTCTCGGCAAGGCTGAGCATCGCAGCGAGGTTGGTCAGTGGCAGATCGTCGGCACAGAGTTTCCCAATCGTTGGTCAACTTCGTGACACGATTCGGGCTCTAGTACAAGAGATGTTCGCCATCGCCTCATACAAAGCAATAGCGCTTCTCGTCCTTGGTAGACTTATCACACTCGTCGTCTTTGTTCGATTTTCCCTTTCCACCACGTCTGCGTGCCTTCCCTTTGCGCCCTTGCTGCCGTGCCTGCTGCTACTGCTGTTGGGGAGGGCGAATTTGCTGCGATGATGATGCGACGAAGTTGGCTTGCGAAAGAAGCTGACCCTTGCGCTTCTCCGCGTTTATCGTGAATTCTTCTTCAATGATGTAGCTCAACAGGGAATCCTCATCCAGCGCTTCACGTATGCCAGAAAGCTTTACCATGCGTTGCAATAGATTGTAACACTGCAGAAGTCCCTTCATGACATGTGTGATGTAGGACGACATAGCGTAGTCGACGCCGACCATCCGCAACTGTGCTGCGCTGAATGAAACTACGAGAACTGCTCAACGTCGTCTTCATGCGACGCATCCACCAATCCACTGACAAACTTCTTCAATTGCGCAATTGCCAGTGGGGACTCGATTGCTTCGACCCACGTTGTATGGTCGTGGCAGCCTTCAAGTGGTTTCGGAACCACAATCTTGTCTGACAAATATTTGAAGTATCTGTACTCCGGAGCGATGCCTCCATCATGCGCGGTCAAAGGGTATGACGTCCTCGGAGGATCGGCGGTCCTTCAACCAGCCGATGTGCGGCGAGTGTCAGCATCAGCACGTGCACCTGTTGCAGCGGCCGCTTGTAGGACCTGCGCATGCATCCCACTAACACTCGTTGTGCTGGTCCTTGCGGGTCCTCGCATAAATCCACGGATAACCCTTGCGCCTCCGTCACCAGCCTGTGTGCCGTTGTTGTCATCAGGTTGGGGAGAGGTGGACTCATTGTCCTCTGCAGAACGAGGTGGGTGATCACGCGCCCACCTTGCTTGTGTGTTGTCCAGCATGAGCTCCAAGGCATCGTCGCCGATTTTGCTACCGCGGTAGCGCTCCCTCATGACGACCTCCTACGCTTGCAGGGTGTTCGTGCCTAATGCCCATAAGGGCTCAAACGGGCTACCGGCTCTAGTCAAGAAACGGTGGTAGAACATTGGTGTAACTGAAGGTCGCATGTTCGACCCACATTTACTGCACCATGCATAAAAAAAACAACCACGGTGAGAGTTGCTGCGTAGGAGGCGCTTGGGTACATTGCTAATATTGCAACGCACGCTATGTTCAAAGAGTGCAAGCAAGAGTTTCAATAGGGAAGAAATGGTGTGTACGGTACAAAGATGCAATGGCAAGCATATAATACCTAATGTGAGAGTATCACCCATTACACTTCTTTCTTATTTCCATATTTCTCCTCTATCTCATTCTTTTTTTTCTCTTGATTCATTTGGTCTTTATCTCATCTCATTTGGTTTCCTATTCCTCATTTCCCCCTATCCTTTGGTTTATCTTATGAGTTTTAATTATATCACCGACCAGGCTCGGGAATCGGGATGTAATAGCGCGCTATATCTAGTGTAATCCTGTCGTAATCACTTAAAGCCAATAGCCGCACGTGGCTATACGCAGGGTGATTCTATTTCTAGAAGGGTCTATTCCCTTTTGGAGAAGAAAAACCTGGTTACCTGATGTACTGTACCTTGAAAGTATAAAAGTGCCTTGTATCAATCGATAGTGAAACTTTTCCTCGATCAATTTGATCCTATGACACTTGGTAATCAAACTTTTTCTCACTCGGCAGCGCTCAGCTAAATAGCAGCAGCGGGAAAATCTGCCTCGAAAAGCCGCCGGGGGCGACTAATTTGGCGCCGATTCTGGTAGGCACCAGCTCCGCATTTTTTTAATTAACCCCTCCGCGCGTGTTTTGAACACGATGGCGAACTTCGACAACACCGAAGTTACCCAGCAGCTCTTCACGCGCATCGCTGCCCTACACAAGGAGGTGCGAGCCGACCGCGAAGCTTGGCGAAATGAATTCAAGCAAGTAACGCGACTCTTCGGCACGCAACACGAAACAACAACGACGACGACGCAGCAGTCGTACCAGTTTCTCGAGGCTCCGAAGCCGCGCCCACCTGAGTCCGCTGATGGATCGCCAGCATCGAGATCTACTTCGCAGCCGTCGGATGGAGCTCGCCAGTCTGGGATGGTCAGAGCGTGCGATTCGCGATGACACTGATGCGAGGGCCGGCACTCGAGTGGATCTGCGGCAACAGTACTTTCATCCACGGCAAAGCCACGTGGCAGCAGTTCCACACCAACGTGCTGATATGTTTCCAGCCGATAAATTCTAGGTTCCTTGCCTGGGAAAAAATCATCGCCATCGACAGTTTGGGAGTGTAGCGCACTACACGCTGCAGATGGAAGAAATTTACAACCGAATTCCCGACCTGACCGAAGGGGAAAAAGTACAATCGTATCCCGCCAGGCTGAAGATCGAAGTCAAACAACAGGTAGCAGCGACAAATCACGCGAGCTACAGTGACATCGTTTCGGCAGCGGAGCGGTTTGACATGGTCAACGCCGGAACACAACGGGCGCGCATCGGCAGTACGCGACAGGGCGAATGCTCAGCAAACCCCACGTTTGCCGAACCGATGGAAATTGACAGGTTCGACGTGTTAGGATTAAGGACGGAGTCTAGGTGAACTTAGGAGCTAGAATTACTCAAAATATAAATCCGAAATTCTGGACAGAAAAGTCGTCTTCACAAGAAACGACGTCGACAAAAAACTAGCTGTTGGAATGTCGCGAAACTTGGATATGTTGTAGCTCTTAATCGCAGCTACCGTTTTCAATTTGAATCATGTTGATTGATGAAGTATTTGCGACGCTATGGCTTTTGACGCACTAGGGGGTAAGCTGTAGGAGGAGAACTTAACTCAATCTCAAGAGTTCAATCAAAATTCAAGAATCTCACAAGGAATTAGAGGAGCAAGAGAAAGGTTGGGATAGAAAGAGAGGGACGAGAGGGAAGGTCCCAAGAGAGTCCCCAACCAAGGAAACCCCATAAGCACAAAGATTCCCTCCCTATAGGAACCCCAATTTTGACATTTGTCCCTTCCCATCCAATCCATCCAAGTTGGCCACCCTTGCCAACCTAGCTTGGTTGTTCCCAACCAATTTGCAGCTGTTACAGTAGAGTGACAAATTTCCCCAACCCCCAAAGGTCCCAACTCCATATAAAGTCACCCCACAACTTCACTTTGTAACCGTCGCAATTGTAACGCAAGCTCATGAACTTTGAATCTTCATAGCTTTCGCGTTCTTGCTCCGATTGAAGCGATTCTTGTTGCGTCGGAAAGATCTTCTCAAGATCTATCATCACAAATACCTGCTCAAACAAAAATAACACAAAACACATTCCCAAACTCCAGTACACACCACACAAATTCTTTCACACGTTCAAACCACACATGCGAATTGAAACAAGAGATGAGAGGCAGACAGAATGTGATAGCATATGATGACATCACACAACAATCTCCCCCTTTGGCTGCCAACCATCAACCACCATACCAACATCTCAAGCATGCATACTCAATGCACACTCATCCCAGCAAGCTTCATGCCCTTCCAATGATCCGCCTCCGCCAGACGCTTGGTGAAAATATCTGCTGCCTGCTGATGGGTCTTCACTATCTCCAGCCGCACCTCCTTATCAAGGAGTCTCCTCACCCAATGCCACTTAGGCCTTATGTGTTTTGTCAGCCCATGCAGACAAGCATTCTTGGCGAGCTTCACAGCGGACTCATTGTCACAAAACACAACTGTCGGCTTCTCCTGACCAACTCCCAACTCCTCCAACAAACGCCTTAGCCACACTACTTCCTTGGCCCCATGGTGTAAGGCCATGTACTCAGTCTCACATGAGGACAATCCCACCTCATTCTGCTTCTTGCTGCGCCAGCTCACAGCACCACCTCCTAGCAAGCACACATAACCCCCAATGCTGGTGCCATCCGCTTTCACTGAGTTGAAGCTAGCGTCAGTATAGCAACTCAAGAGCATCTCTCCACTCTTCACATCTGCAGCACCTCTCTGCAACCGCTGCCTCACTCCACTGTACTCCAATCCCACTGATGCCGTAGCACTCACATAGCGGACCAACCTCTTGGCCGCTTCCAGCTGCTCATGACTAGGGCGTGAGACCACACTAGCCAACCGTGATGCAGAAAATGCAATGTCAGGCCGTGTATGATTTGCAGCATAATTCAGCGACCCAACCATCGAATGAAACAGCTTCCTGTCACTCTCACCCACTACCTCCTCATCAGCACATGGCTCCACAGTAAACCCTGAAGGTAGTGGTGTTGCTGGCTTTCCCCCATCTTGCAGCCCATACTTCTCAGCCAGCCCCTCACAGTACTTCCTCTGGTGCAACCTCAGCACACCCTTTTCCACATCTCTCTCCACGTGCATCCCCAAGTAGTACTTCACCTCACCCATCTTGGAGCACTTGAACTGCATCTCCAGCATCTGCTCTGCGCTGTCCAGCAAAGCAGTGGATGCAGAAAAGAGAAGGATATCATCCACATACACCAAGAGCATGAGGATTTCATCCTTCTCCTGCAGCAGGAACAGGCTGGGGTCACACTCACTCTTCTTGAAACCCCCAGCCAACAGCGCCTCCTCCAACTTGTGATACCATGCACGAGGCGCCTGCTTAAGGCCATAGATGGCCTTCTTCAGCCTGCAGACCCTGCCGCTCCCGTCATCCAGCACCTCTGGCTGCTTCATGTACACCTCCTCCATAATGATCCCATTCAGAAAGGCTGTCACAATATCCATCTGCCGAATCTTCCATCCCAGGAGTGCAGCTATCGCCAACAGCACCCTCAGTGTTGTTCCTTTCCCCACAGGAGCAAACACCTCATCATAGTCCTTCCCCTTTGTCTGCTGAAACCCCCGTGCCACAAGCCTAGACTTGTAGCGGGTCAGCTCCCCTTCAGGTCCATACTTGTGCCTGTAGATCATCTTGGAAGTGATTGCCTTCTTCCCAGGAGGCAAGTCACACAGGTCCCATGTCTCGTTCTCAATCAGGGACCCGAACTCCTCATCCTCACTCGCCTTCCACTTCTCCCCATTTGGTCCATTCAAAGCCTCCTCTCGAGTCTTGGGCTCAGGGATTGGTGCCCAGTAGCAGTGAGCGATCTCATCTTCCTCAATCTGCTCAACCACACTCCCAGCCTGCACCACATTCGGCTTGCCTCTTCCCCCATAGGTCAGCCTCACCGGAGGGCGCACATCCCTCCTAGGTCGCTCAGGCGGGTGTGGAACTGGAGGTGGAGACTCATGCTGTTGCTGCTGCTGCTCCACCTCAGCTGCTCCCCCTTCCTCAGTCACCCCAGACATCTCCTCCTCAGACACTGCAACCTCCACCTGTCTTGAAGGCCGCTGCACCTCATCTGCCTCCACAATGAGCGGTGTAGATGGAAGCTTCTGTTGCTGCTGCTTCCATTCCTTGTAGTACAGGGACTCCAGAAACTTCACATCCCTTGACACTGTCAGCTTCTGGGTGGTCAAGTCCCATAGCAGCCAACCCTTGTGATCCTTTGCAATCCCCAAGTGCACACCCCATCTTCCAGAAGCCTCCAACTTCCCCCTTTTCTCCTTAGGCACATGAAACACCACCATGCACCCAAATGCCCTCAGCATGTTCACAGCTGGAGCACTCCCATACCACTTAACATATGGGATCCACTCCTTATCCCCAACTGTAGCCAGCACCCTATTCTTCACAAGGGCGACCTGCCTCAGTGCAGACACCCAAAATGGACCAGGCAGCCCTGCACGCCCAAGGAGAGTGCGTGCCCCCTCCTGCAGGGTCCTGTTGAACCTCTCAGCCACGCCATTCTGCTGTGGGTTGTAGGGCACTGTCAGTTGATGCTGGATCCCCTTCCTCTTCAACTCCCCCTCAAAATCAGCTCCAATGAACTCCCCACCATTGTCACTGCGGATCACCTTCACCTTGTGTCCGCATTCCCTCTGAGCTCTAGGCATCCACTCCTTAAGGACAGCCGCTACCACCTCCCCCTTGCTCTTCAAAGGGTAAACCCACACTGCCCGAGTGTGGTCATCCACAATTGTCAAGAAATAGCGGCTGCCTGAGAGGGAAGGGGCTCTTGTGGGCCCCACCACATCCATGTGCACAAGTGCAAGTGGGGTCTTGGCTGGTCCTGTAGTGCTGTTGAAGGGGAACTTGGAGAACTTGGTCTCCAAGCATGTAGGGCAGCTCCCAATCTCCTTCACTCCCCCTTTCACCTCCAAGCCCTTCAGGCTCCCATCCTTCACCAACTTCTGCAGCATAGGGAAGTTCACATGACACAGCCTCTCATGCCATGTCTCCCAATCAGCCTCTCCACTCTTTGATGAAGCCTTAGCCCATGCCGCACTCGCATCCACACCAGCAAGCACCTCACCATGTGTCTGCTGCTGTTGCACTTTCTTGACTGCTTCCAAGACCCCATCAGTTGGTGCAGTTGCATCTCCTCCTGCAGTTGCCTTTGCCGCTGCTGCCGTTGCTGCTGTTGGAGTCTTCCCATTCCATGGGATGATGGGCAGCTGCCACAGGTCCTTGATGCAGCTGGTCTCCTCTTCCAGACTCCACAGCACCTTCTTCCCAAGCTTAGCATGGCAGCTGGTTGGTCCAAAGGTCACTTCGGCCTTGCTCTTCTGCAGTCGTCGCACAGAGAGAAGGTTAGCAGACAAGCCTTCAACCAGCAGAACATTCCCAAGCCCCACAAGCTCCCCATTAGCTCCCTTAACCTTGGCATTTCCAACACCAATGACAGGGAGCAAAGCACCTGACACTGCTGCCACATACTTGATCTTCCCAGGGGGTTTTACCTCATCAAGCAAATCTGCCCGTGGGGTCATGTGACTGGTGCAACCCGAATCAATCACCCAGTGCGTGAGAGGGTGCATCACAACCTTTCCCACAGATCCCACATCACCCTCATGCCCATGCACATCCTCAACCATAAGAAGCAAACCAGGATAGGCATTACCTTGTGCACCTTCACCTTGTGCACCTGAGCCTTGCACAGCGCCACCTTGTGCGCGTTCACCACTGGGCGGCTTCATGCCTGGAGGTGCCCATCCCTCCGGCCTGCTGAAGCACTTGAACCAAGGATGCCCGACCTTCTTGCAGTACCAGCAGGTGCCCTCCATTCTGGTACTCCCCCTGCCACTGGAGCTCCCATGCCCCTCATTATAGTCACCTCGGCCTCTACCTCTGCCAAAGCTCCTCCCACGGCCTCGGCCTCTCCAACCCCCTCTTCCTTTGCCGCGCCCTGCAGCTCCATACCCCTCAGCAGTCTTCGTGGCAGCACCGCCTCCCACATGGCGTCTACGGAAGTCCTCCTGCAGAATCTGCTGCCTTAGCCACTCAGGTGTCCATTGATCTTGCTGAGAGTTGAGGGTGGGGATGAGGTTGTCCCAAGAGTTGTCCAACACCGAGATGATCTTGGTGCACTGCTGCAGCTGAGATACACTGCTGCCCGCTGCTGCCATCCTTGCATAGGTGTCCTTGATCTTGTCAAGGACCGGCTTCACATCATCCCCTGGTCGCATGGAGATGGCAGCAAGTTCCTTCTCGAGCACGATCACCATTGGGAGAGTGTTGGGCTGAATCACATCACGTAGCAGTTTCCACGCCTTTGGACCCGAATCATCCGCTTCCACAAGATCCTTGATGTGCTCGAACATCTCCTTGTTGACCGATTGAAGGATGAGGTCGAAAAGCACCGCGCTTTTCTCAATCCACCGTTCGCGTGCTTCGCCTTCTTCCGGCATCTTCTCTTCCCCAACAGCAATCTTCAGTAGCTTGTAGCGTTTGAAGGCACTCCTCATCCGTCCGCTCCATTCCTCATAGTTGGAGCCATCCAAAGCTTCAACTTTTGATGGCGGCGGCTCACTTGTCTTCTCTGCTACAGCTCCTCTTCCATTAGCATCTCCTCCTCTCTCATTCATCTTCTCCTTGAGAGATGACAAATTTCAGCTCCCCTTTGCTGTCCACACTCAGCTCCCTCGATATTTTCACAAGTGTCGGCGTCCACGAAATTTCGGCAGAGTTTCCCCTTAGCGGAAGACACATCCAACCTTTAGAACACCACTTAGGCACACCCACAGGCCATGGTGGGTCTAGAAGGGTCTTCACACTTCTGTAGACTCCTCTCAATGTCCTTAATATCGCTCTGATACCACTTGTTAGGATTAAGGACGGAGTCTAGGTGAACTTAGGAGCTAGAATTACTCAAAATATAAATCCGAAATTCTGGACAGAAAAGTCGTCTTCACAAGAAACAACGTCGACAAAAAACTAGCCGTTGGAATATCGCGAAACTTGGATATGTTGTAGTTCTTAATCGCAGCTACCGTTTTCAATTTGAATCATGTTGATTGATGAAGTATTTGCGACGCTATGGCTTTTGACGCACTAGGGGGTAAGCTGTAGGAGGAGAACTTAACTCAATCTCAAGAGTTCAATCAAAATTCAAGAATCTCACAAGGAATTAGAGGAGCAAGAGAAAGGTTGGGATAGAAAGAGAGGGACGAGAGGGAAGGTCCCAAGAGAGTCCCCAACCAAGGAAACCCCATAAGCACAAAGATTCCCTCCCTATAGGAACCCCAATTTTGACATTTGTCCCTTCCCATCCAATCCATCCAAGTTGGCCACCCTTGCCAACCTAGCTTGGTTGTTCCCAACCAATTTGCAGCTGTTACAGTAGAGTGACAAATTTCCCCAACCCCCAAAGGTCCCAACTCCATATAAAGTCACCCCACAACTTCACTTTGTAACCGTCGCAATTGTAACGCAAGCTCATGAACTTTGAATCTTCATAGCTTTCGCGTTCTTGCTCCGATTGAAGCGATTCTTGTTGCGTCGGAAAGATCTTCTCAAGATCTATCATCACAAATACCTGCTCAAACAAAAATAACACAAAACACATTCCCAAACTCCAGTACACACCACACAAATTCTTTCACACGTTCAAACCACACATGCGAATTGAAACAAGAGATGAGAGGCAGACAGAATGTGATAGCATATGATGACATCACACAACACGACGGGCGGCCACGTGCGAAAAACGCCAACTTTACGTGCGATTTTCGGGGACTGCCGGGCCATCAAATCTTCGACTATAATGAAATAAAAGTCGTGCGTGCAAAGCTTCGGGCATGCAATAGTGGCGGAAATTCTTCGGCTAATCAGAAAAAAGAAGAAGAGGGAATCGTCAGTGATTGTGGATGTAGCTGGTGAAAAAGAAAAGATCCGAAAGCGATCGCAGGATTCCATAAAAATCAACTTCGACAAAGCTAATTCGATGTGAGCAGAAGGAAATGATGGGGGAAAATCTCCACCCCACGACCAATCTTTGCTAGGGAAAATTGCCGAGAAAAAAATTGACTCCGCGAAAAAAAGCCTCTGCCAAGACAGAGAATTTCCTTGAAGACCCAATAAATTATATGGTTCGTTAAAGTTATCTTATAAAGATGTTTCTATAAATTGTATGATTCTTGAGGGGCTAGAGCCTTGGAGAAATTATGGGGGGGCCTCAAAAAGAAGCAGAAAATTGTGGAGATCGTACCGATACCATAAATCTTGGGGAAAAAATTAAGGAGTGTGGAAAGAAGTTGACCTTTCCAAGTAGTCCATGTCCTCTCCCGACACCAGCCCACAACGACTACCCGTTCCCCAAGGAAGACATCAATGGAGCTGAAGTAGCTGAAGAGGAAGCTAGGGGTCTACAAGAAGCTGCAAAGGCCCCGAAATCCTCCTTCGGATGCATCCAACTCAACAACTTCGGCATCAACGAAACACACTGTCGTCAAGGAAACTACGAGCTCTGGAGAAGAGCCTTTCTCCAAGCAGCCTCGGTCAGCTGGCAGCTCAAGAGTAGATAGCAATTAAAGGTGTGTACGGAATATTGAGATGTACCCTGTGATCCTATTGATGAAACTATCTTTTGGTACTCCGAGCAACGCCTTCCCCTTGTGCTCGAGGTCGTCTGAAAAGGACAACGCCTCCATGCACCCGTGGACTGTGGAGCGTCACACACCGTATATGACAAGGTAGCAATCAACCAACTTCGGGAAGAGTACAAGCCTTCAACATTCTCTGCAACGATGGTGGACGGCAGCAAGTTACTAGTCTACGACGAACCAGTATTACACCTACAAATCGGTCCATTGCGCTGGAAACACGCACTCCCCATCACCAATATAAAAGGGCTTGACTTGATCTTCGGGCGAGACTTCCTTAAAAAGTCAACCCTTATGTCACCTGGGTAAACCGTACTGCAAGCATCTACAGTACAACAACGGAAGGAGAGTCCAGCTACCCAACTGGGACGACAAAGGAAGTATCCTAGTGGAGACAATCGCCAGGTTCAAGAAGTTTGTGGAACGAACTGACACCGGATTTTTGGCGATAGCAACAGATGCAGAAGAGGACGAAGAGAAAGCATCGTAACGTCCAGAAAAAAACCGTGAATTACTGAAGGAGTTCCAATACATTCTTCCCGACGACCTTCTGAACGAGCTACCGCCATACCGAGCGCACCAACACGGGATCGTGAAAGAACTAGGTTTGAAGCCGACCTACCGAGCATTATATTGGCTCAGCCCCACAGAGCTAGCCGACATGAAGAAATGAATCGAGTATCTCCTCGAAAAAGGACTCATCCGACCATCCACTTCACCTTACGGTGCCCCAGTACTTTTCACACTGAAATCGGACGAAAGCATGCGCATGTGCATCGATTACCGAGCTCTCAACAAGAAGACAATCAAGAATAAATACCCGTTTCATGAGTCGGTGACCTGCTTGACCAGCTTCGGAGAGCCACGGTATTTTCCAAACAGGATCTGCGGTCCGGATACAGGCGGATAAGAATGGCGAGCAATTCCATCCATAAAACTACCTCGGTGTGGGTTGTACAAGTATCTGCTCATGCCGTCCGAGCTCACGAACGCACCGGCAACCTAATAAGCCGAAATGAACCACATCATTTGCCCACTCTTGGACGAATGCGTGGTGGTATACCTAGATGACATCCTCATATACAGTGGCAGAAACAATTGTCCGTAAGTTTTGCATCAATTTGGGTTTTTAGGCTTTAAGACCACTATACATTAAGCCTTAATGTTTAATGGTGGTACGATTTGGGAGGGGCACATAGTGGATGTGTTCATAGCACAAACATCCAGAATAGTACGTTGAATCTAACTCATATCCCAAAAGATGTACAAAGGGTACATCCAGACAAATAGTTCAAAGCAGAGAGAGCAAACTCCGAAGGAGTGTTTTTAGTTCCTAGCCCACTGGCCTTTGGCCTTGATCACCGCCCGCACCCTCCTAGGCGTGCTGTCGATGAGGCTAGAGCAAACCTCGGCATGGATCTTCTCCTATTCTTCCTGGACCAGGTCTTAAAGCTCCAGCATTCCAGAGGAAGGCCTTTTATGCTTGGCTGGCTCCCTTTTCGGGTAAGCCCAGAGGTTGAGGTTTGATGAGAAACAAGGCCACTCCAGGGCTACATACTCATGTTCTCCAATTCATTCCTGCACTAGGCATAACAAATTCTTGAGATCATTGTCTGCACCGAGATAACCCCAGAGGGGAAATGCCTACAGAAATGGAGGGTCAATTCTAGTTCATTAAGCAAAATGCTCTCATACAGGGGCCTCTCCATGCGTCCGTCAATCTTGCATATGAACCCCACCCTTGCACATGTCACACATCCCCACACCATCACCGATCCTTGTCCCCATGGTTTACCGTCTATTTGATTTGGTGGTGCTGCAGGGTTGTGCCTTTACGAATCCAGGCAAACGTGCGGCCATTATAGCTGTACTCGTGCGATATGAAGCAGCACGTTGAACACCTACAATGCGTCTTCGACATTCTTGGACGAGAATGATTCTACGTCAAATTATCCAAGAGCGGGTTCGCCCTCAAGAAGGTCCAATTCCTAGGACCCATGTTGAGTGCTCAGAGATTTCACATTGACCCAAGAAGATCGAAGCCGTACGCACATGGAAGTCACCCGAGAACGTAAAGGAGTTGCAGCAGTTCCTAGGCTTCGCCAACTATTACATCAGGTTCGTGCCACAGTACGCAAAAATCGCTGCACCACTCACGAATCTGCTGAAGAAGAACACGCCCTATCAATAGGAATCAAAACATCAAGATGTCGTGGACCAGCTGAAACAAGCACTCACGTCCGCTCTCATCTTGCCGGATCCCGAACGCGACTACGTCATCGAAGCTGACGCGAGTGACCGGGCAGTGGGAGCAATCTTGATCTAAGACTACGGGAATGGACTGCAACCCATCGCCTACCTCAGCCAGAAACTGCACGGGGCAGAACTAAATTACCCGATACATGACAAAGAGGCTTTTGCTATTATCATCGCATTCAAAACGTGGAGATTTTATCTCGAAGGACGAAAAACAACCGTCTACATTGATCACTGCATCCTAAAATATTTGAAGACACAACCAAACCTCTCCAGGCGGCAGGTCCGGTGGATTGACTTCCTCGAGATGCACTTCCACTACGACAACGTGTACAAGCCTGACCACAAAAACAAAGCAGATGCTCTCAGCCGGCCTGGACATGTTGCCACTATCCAGGTCGAACGGATGAACCCGCTACTCAAGGAAATCTTCACACACGGGTACACCATTGACCCCGAAATTCCCTTAGCAGAGAAGTGACATTTGCTACAGTGGGACAGTGACATAACGTACTGGGCACCCAACTACCCACCTTTGTGCCAGTTACTATTCGAAGAATACCACGATCTCCTATACGCGGGACAATTCGGTAGCAACAAGACGCTCACCAATATTGCAAAGCACTAAATGGCAAACAACGTACAGAAATTTGTCACCTCGTGCGACACATGGCAGTTGATGAAGAGCAGCAAGCAGTAAAAAGCATGACTGCTACAGCCTCTTCCTGTCCCAGAACTGCCATGGCAAGTGGTTAGCCTGGAATTCATAACCGGGTTACCAACTTCCAAAAGCGGTCATGACGCAATCCTTGTAGTCATCGATAAGTTTTCCAAAATGGGGCACTTCATTCCGACATACATGACATCACGCACCGAGTAGACAGCACAACTATTCGTTGGCTACATCATCTCACAGCATGGCATTCTAACCACACTGATCTCTGACCGAGACCTAAGTTCACCAGTAAGTTCTGGAAGGAACTTATGTCTATGCTTGAGACCAAACTCGCCATGTCATCCGCATACCATCCCCAGACAGATGGACAGACTGAGCGTCTCAACCGAATTGTAGAGCAGCTTCTTCAAGCAGCATGCAAGGACGAAATCTCTAAATGGAACTTGCATCTGCCCGTCATGGAGTTTGCCTACAACAACGCCACTCACGTCACTACTGGACAGACGCCGTTTTTCCTCTATTACGGACACAACCCACTCACCCCACAAAAATTGACAGCACCAGCCACAGTCCAACATGCACACGACTTCATCACCACCATGCATCAGCTTGGGATCGGACCCACAAACGCCTCCTCAACATTCAGTGGCACCAGAAGTGCCACACCGATCGCCACCTCAATGACCACACCATGACTGTGGGAGAACGGTTCTACTCGATACCCGCAATCTTGACATCAACCATATCTCATCCAAACTATGACCTCGCTTTTGCAGGCCCTTCCTTGTTGAAGCATAGGTCTCCCCTGTTAAATTCGGCTTACGCCTGCCAGCTACCTAGAAGATTCACAATGTCTTGGATGTCCAGTTTCTGAAGCCCTACAGAGATCCCAACATGATCTTCTTGGGACGCCAACCGCCGCCGCCGCCGCCGCCCGTCCTCGTCCATGATGAACCCGAGTGCGAGGTCGAGTTTGTGCTTGCATACTGTCGTCGTTGGAATGACCCCTTTGAGCTTCTCATCCATTGGAAGGGTTATGATCCTTCCAAGGATAGCTGGGTTCCTGAATCTGCTATGGGTAACGCCCGTCGTCCTCTTCGCG